GAGTCCTATGTCTGGCTCCTGAACCCCTGATACCTGGAGAATCCTGCCTTCCAGGCCCAGCCTTCCTATGCCAGCCTGTTCTTGAGCTTGGAACCAGAGTAACATTGTTTTGGGGCAGTCTTGGGCTTTGAGGAGGAGGAACCTGACCATGGTGCTGGGGACAAGTGACAGCTCCAAAAGCTGCACCAGCTACAACAATCTGTGAAAGTGCAGCAGCAAGGGCTGCCCACCACCAGGCACCCAATGAAGGAACAACCCAGTGCTCACCACCAGTTAGAAGAGCAGTGAGCGCTCCCAGAGGGGTGAAGTGAATCACCAGGGACTGTGGAGGGCCAAGAGGCTACTTACTGTACATGGGTTCCTCCCCCAGGATGTTGACAGAAACCACTCTGGGGTGTATGTGTGATGTGCTTGCATGAAGGGCAATTGGGCAAGCTCACCCTGGACTGTGTGCCTGAGCTGCTCAATAAATCCTTCTTGTTTGTTAACAAATCAAATGGTGTGCTTTCATATCCAACTGAACTGGGATCTTTGAAGCCCTCTGCTCAAGGAGGGCCTGGTGCAGGGGCTGGCCAGTTTTCCATTTAAGAATCAAGGCACATGCATACAGACACACAGAGGAAGCACAGAACAGCGAGAGATTATTAAAAGAGACACACATTTCAATGCTTGTCATCCTGAAATGTCCATACAATAAAGTACAAGCAGTAACAACCATCATTTTGTGCAACTTGTATTATTTGCATTAAAATATTATCTACATTACAACATTATTTTGCACAATTTTTCAAATTTGTGCCCCTCAAAAATCCTACACATTCACTTTTCTCTATTTGAGAGTGCCACAAAATTCCTACATTTCAAATGGATCTAGAGCAGCATTCTGTTCATGTAGCTACCAAAGATTTATCCATGGGAAGCCAGCATGACTGCAACAGCACTCTCCCACTGATGCTTACCAGAAACAAATAAAATCATGTGTCGTCAAGTCAATTCTGCCTTATGACAACCCTTTTCAGGGTTTTCTACGTAGAGAGTACTCAGAAATGGTTCTCCATTCCTTTCTTCTAGGGGTGTCCTGGAACTGTGCAGCTTGCCTGAGGCCACAGTGGGGAATTGAACTCCCAACCTCTGGCTCCACAACCAGATACCTAAACCACTGAGCTATCTAGCCAGCTCAGCAACAAATATACAAAGGCATATTACCTTGTTACTGGAATGCACCCAAACTAGATATAAAGTACTCAGAAAATTTCTAATGGCTGTCTGGATTTATTTAGAAAGAAGAATGAGCTTGTTAACAATTGTTGTTCTAGCAAATTTTTTCCACATTCACTTTTGCATTGGTTAGACAGCCAGGGTATATGGATGGTGAGAATGACCTGATAAATATTGTGTTCACCCCTTTTCTGTATCTGCTTTCCTTAGAACTTAGTTTGGACTTGGTTTTAACTGGGTTACAAACCACTAAAAAGGGAATGTAAATTAACAAGTCCTTGGTGAAATCTTTATGCCAGGCTCCATATGGTTTCAACTGATTAGGAAATATGAGAGCTCTGCAAATTACAGGATCAGATCCTTCAGGCCTCTTCCATAAAATAATAATGGGAATAACAGTGTACTGATAAATCATGGTATATAAGAACTCTATTTAAAAAGCTTGATTTTTTATTGCAGGCAAAGAATTTGTGTTCTTGGTTTTTGTGCCCTCACCCCTGCAACCCCATTACTATGTTGCAAGCTGTATGAAAAGCTACAGTTAAGGCTCTGTACATAGAGATCAGCTTTCCCCACCTCTTCTATATGTGTTTGACTATACTTCTCATAAACCCCAGTCACTATTCTGGCTAGGGATGGTGGACATTGTAGTCAATTGCATCTGGAGGAAAAGAAGACTGGGCAAAGCTGATGTCTATAGTAAGGTAAAGGTTCCCGTTGACAATCTTTGTCCAGCCGTGTTTGACTCTAGGGGGCGGTGCTCATCTCCGTTTCCAAGCCACAGAGCCAGCGTTTTGTCTGAAGACAATCTTCCATGGTCACATGGCCAGTGCGACTTAGACACGGAACGCTGTTACCTTCCCACCGAGGTGGTCCCTATTTATCTACTTGCATTTGCATGCTTTCGAACCGCTACGTTGGCGGGAGCTGGGACAAGCGACGGGAGCTCACTCCGTTGCGTGGATTCGATCTTACGACTGCTGGTCTTCTGACCCTGCAGCACAGGCTTCTGTGGTTTAGCCCGCAGCGCCACCATGTCCCTCTATAGTACTTCCTTACAATAAGCTACACGTGGGATAGAACTGCCAGAATACCAGCCCTTACAATGAGGATGCAACTACTGTAGCTCCCTGCCCATTCTTCCAGCAGCGCTTTTGTCTACTTCCTTTCACAGTCTTCACAAGGAGACAGGTTGGGAAAAAGAGAGGTGAGCAAAGGGACTGGTAAAAAAAAGCAGGCAGAGGTAGAACGGCCATGTTGTCTCTTTCTAGTTCAGCAATTCCAGGGGAAAAGAAAAGATCTCCAGTTTATGATCTGCTGTGATCTGTTACATTGGAATTCAACTTTTCCTTCAATGTGCTCAAGGCAGCATGCATGGATCCCATTTTCTCCTATTTGTCCTCAAAAGTCAAGGACCAAAATTTGTAGGGCAGGTTGGGAAAGAGCTATCCTCTGAAATCCCCTAAGTTTCACTGCAGAGGAAGAACTAGAACCTCTATCTCCCAGGGCATATGATTTAGCAATTCTATGTATAGTGTTGATCTGGGATAATCTGACACTACCAAAAAGTACCCAAGCTGCCAAAAAAAAAAAAAGGCACAGGTGCTATCTGGTCAGGTTTATGATTTGGAAAAATATACAACTGTTTTGCGTTGTTGATCAAGAAGCAAGTATTGTCAGAAGCCACAAAACTGCCCCAAAGTTGCTCTATATTTCTATCAAAGTGGAATGCTAGTGGGCAGCAGAGTTCCGGCACACTGCTTAGACATTAATCTGACTTCAAAATACATGGATATTATGATCCTCAACTCTTTACTTACAGCTTTAAGTTAAACTATGCTGGTCTTTTGGTCATACTCTTGCTTTTATCGTACATACACCGGAGTACAGTCCCCATGAGAATTCTGAAATTGAGTTTGGGCCTTGGGCTGAAAGAGGTCCCTCATCCTTGTTATAGGGAGACAAAGTACCTAGACATCTGGAAGCACAGCACAAACCATCCATAAGATCTGCCTTATATTTCAGTGTTACATAGAACATCTGGCATATCTCTAACATTCATCCCCATTATACACCCTCTGCTATTATTTTACCAGCCAACCAACATGCCTCTCTGCCATTCCACTCTGACTCTGCCCGAACATAATCTACAGAGCAAAGCAAGACTGAGCATTGTGGTCTTGGGCTGTCTGTATGCAATTTAACTGTACAGTTAAAGGAAAACACCCTTCCCATCTCTGCAAAACAGTGATAAATGTTTGTTGTCTAAAAACAGGTTACCACAAGCTGGGAATGGATATATTATGTCCCCAGATCACAAACGAGACACGCGTGTATTCAACATCTCAGCAGTATGTATTATCTTGTCATAATTATCTTCTCCAGGTCAGCCTTTAATCAACTGAGGCTTATTGCCCAGCTCCACCCCTACGAGAATGCCCTCAGGATGCATGTGTTCATGATCTCCGGGATCAAGTATTGCAATACTCTCTACATGGGGCTTCCCTTGAGGTCGATCCACAAACTGCACTGAGTCTAAAATGCAGCAGCCAGGCTTGTGGCAGCTGTGAGCAGATTTGATCACATCTCCTGAGTCCCAGCTTGCTTGCACCAGATTCTAGTTGCATTCCAGATCAAGTTCAAGGTACTGATGCTAATCTATAAAGCCCTTCACAGTTCGGGGCTATGTAACTTGATGTAGTGTTTCTCACCAAGATTATCTGCCTGCTCTACCAAATCCTCACAGGCCATGCTTCTGCCAGTAGCCATGCCAAAGGAGGACAGAAAATCATTGACAAGAAGCCGGGCTTTCTTGGTGGTGTCACCAGCTCTTCAGAACCATCTTCTAATGGAGCCACGCCTGGCCCCTTCTCTCTCTAATTTCAGGAGGCTGCTGAAAACTCATCTTTTCTGGGGAGCTTCGGGTGGCAGTCTCCCCTGATCTTCTACTGCTGTTGGATTTTACGACACCATCTGGAGTTAAAACCTTTGTCTATTTTTTCTTTTTTCTTTTTTGCCTATTACTCTGCTTATGTCATTTCGCTTTTGTTCTGCTTTTTATATGTACACCATCCGCTACAGTGCTGTGCACTAATGGGGCGGTATAAAAATCTCATTTGTTTGTTCGTTTGTTCATTTGTTTCTTTGTTTGTTCGTTTGTTCATTAAAAAATGAACAAATGAACAAACAAACAAATATCCACAAAAAAATCTATCTGCTTCTGGTAGCATTAAAAACAACAACTCCAAGTAGCAAGCTCACTTCCAGTAGCAATGTACAGTACTGGCAATCAGTGGATGTTGATCAGATACAGATTACCCCCAGCCAGCCCACTTCTGCCTTCCTTCTTACCAGATGAAGATGGTTATGATCCCTATAGGTGGTGTCCTGTTCTACCAAGTGTATGTGTGAATATCTTCTTGCCTTTCTTTAAGTATGTCCTTGTTTATGGATACCCACTTTAGTCATTGACTCTGTTTTATTATCCTTTGCTCTACCAACCACATTGAGTGCAGACACTACTGCTTGGCAGCCATACTTGATACAAAAACACTAACATCCAATGCCATATGCACTAACAGGCACAAAGCTGAAAACAAGTCCCACCACATGCATGGCTTTACTACAGCAAATGAATGTTCAATGTGAGACAGGCTAGATAAACATCTTAGCCCAGCATAGAGCCTTCAGCAAAGGCTAAGGCAAGAATATCCCAAGGCCCACTTCCAACATTTAGCTGTTAACTCTGAGTTGCATGTTTGATGAATGTCAGGAGGACTTACCCTGTAGTGATATCATCATCCTCAGTCATGGTCTTGCCCATTAAGTCACTGTCACTCATATACCCAGATTTGAGATCGACGTCATCAGCATCGAGGGACTCCACAAGTTCCAGGCGAGAAATGTGGCTGAGCTTGCTGGGGCTGCGCATGGGCATGGTGTGGGAGTAGTGAGCTCGCTCCCCATGCATGTACCAGCTTGGGGTGCCTTCGGAACGGCAGCCCCCACCCACTGAAGGGGCATCCCCAGCCTGCAGGCGTGGGCTGGACTGACCGTAGCGCCAGGAGAGGGGAGAAGAACGGTTTGACAGGCTGGACACACTGCGGGGATTGGCTTCGTCACTGTCATAACATGTCATCTCCAGTGAGCTGCAGGAATAGAGCAGAGAGAAAGGTCTGAGGGCTAAAACTGGGGGGAGGCAAAGCAGAATCTGAGGGCACTTCTGAAAAGTGAAGCAGCCCAAACCAAGATGTACTTGAAATGACAGCTGCTGGGAAACGCAGGCTGTACTTCGAAGTGGAACAAAGTTTACACACGAGGCCTAATGGGCTATAAGCTGCAATACACTCTTGTTCTTTTATTTGCCTGTGATTTTCTAACTGGTTGCAGATCAAATACAGAACTGGGCTACAGTAATTCTATTTGCAAAGGAAGGAAGAATTTCAGGAAATATATCTTCTCTGAACAGTGCAGAATCGCAGTAAGTGCATATGCACTTCTCATCGTTGTTTCAGTATCAAAACACAAGTACTGTATTAGTTCCATAGTAATTCTGACAACCTCACTTTATCCTTATTTGACACCTGTGCAAGATGTCAAAGTCTGATGTTAAATGGTCCAAGGAGTATGCACACGGGACTAAACTGGACAACACAGTAGGGTAGCCTACCACTTCACATATCTACAGATTTATTCAAAACAAATAAGATACTCTTTGTTTCAATAATTTCCACTTAATATGATTTTTGGGTGGAGATGCCCTGTAGGGAATTATTTTGCTGTTGTATAAATAGGATGCTGGACTATTTATTTATGTTTGCTTTATTTATAATGCTTATAAGTGTATTTAATACAGTAAAACCAGGTTTTATTAAACATTTTCACACCCCAGATAGACATTTGGTCTGATCCAGCGAGGTTTTCCTTATGCTGCTTTCAGATGTTTAGAAAAGTAATTTTTAAGGCAACCCCCATAGGACATACAACTCATCTTGTAGTCCAAAAATTACGTTTCTAAGCTCTGCATGTTTCAGAAAACACCTCAACTGAAAGTTCAACTCTGCCTACTTTGAACTGCTTCACAAAAAGATTCTGTTGAGTTTTTCCTTCGAAAGCTTTCAGAGCATTTATTGGTTAAAAACACATTGAAAATACAATTATGGATGTTCAGCTGCTTGCAATCTGGGTGCTTGCTATTGTTGTTTTGCAGTTACAGAACAGACCACACTTTGTAGTGTTGTATGTGCTGCACTTGAAAGTCTGAGACATAAAATGAGTTCTTCAAAGTATGCATGCACCACTATTGCCACTTAGCTGTGCACATCTAATGGGCCTTTACAGACTTATTACCCCTTCCAATCAGTATTACTGATAGTGGAAATTCAAACCCCCACCCCATGTTCATGCCATCTGATTTCTTTATTTATTTTAATGATACACTAAGCAATCGTCCATCATATCTTTGCAGGAGGGATGAATGTGAATTTTTAGCCTTTGAAAAGCATGGTAAACAGATTGAGAAAACAACCCTTCTTACCATTCTCTTGATAGCTCATAAATGTTTTTGCTTTTATTTTTCTGAGGGTTGAGTGTGCCTTCTCTCCAATAATGGCATGCTTCTCTACCCAAACATACAATTTTCATTTTAAAAACAGGTATAAGAAATCCAGTTCTCTTTCCCTCTCCTCCAAATCAAGATTCTTTATGCCATACATATGTACTGGGTGTTACACTGTTGCCTCTTAATGGGAATTTATATAACAGTAAAATACCATATTTTTCCATGTATACAATCCCCGATGTATAAGATGACCCCCTAAGTTTGTCCCTTGCTGGAGGTGGATGAGCAGTCAATGGAGAGCCATGAGAGGTGACCCAGCTGCTCCTCTGTCTCTGTCTCCTGCTGCCTCGGCCGCCTGATAGCCTCCTCCAGGGCGACTGGCAGGGCTCATCTCCAGCTCACGTTGCCACCTTGTCCCCTGCGTGAAGGGAGCCTGCGAGTGGCACTGGAGGAGGCAATCCAGCAGCCACAGAAGCAGCAGCAGGAGGCAGAGGCAAAGGAGCAGCCATGCTCGGCTGCCTCTTGCTGCTGCCCATTGACTTCTGCCGCTGCCACTGGATCGCCTCCCCCAGTGCCACTCATGGGCTCCCTTCGGGCAAGGGACAAGGTGGTGATGTAAGCTGGAGGTGAGCCCCAGCAGTCGCACTGGAGGAGGAGATTGGACAGCGGCAGCAGCAGTCAATGGGCAGGAGCAAGAGGCAGCCGAGCAGAGCTGCTACTTCGCCTCCGCCTCCTTCCGTGCATAAAATGACTGTTAATTTTTCCTTTAATGGTTTTATGGAAAAGTGTCATTTTACATATGGAAAAATATGGTAAAGGTTATATTAAGATATATAAAGATATTCACATGTTCACCTGGATAAAACCCTGCAAAGCACTTTCATGTTCTGCAGTAAAGCAGTAATATCCAAATTTGAAATTGAGATTTTCCTTGTATTGCACACCACCCTGATATAAAATACAGGCCTGGAAACTGGTATGTAAACAACAGGAAGGTATTATTGATGCAGCACTATACTGTAGTGTGTTGCATTTCCATTACAAGTACAGTAAAGCAAGGCATGAGAGTTAACAGTCCTTGCTGATGCCCCACATCCCACTCACACTTTTCATTTAGATTCAATAAAACCAGTTACTGGACATCAAATATAAACCTATGATTGAAAACATTTCTGGAATGGATTCACAGCTCTAGGAGATATGAAGCTCAACCTACAAAGCCTTGCAGATATGGATTCAATAATTGCATTGGTGCACAAAAGTTTTCTTATTCAAGTGAAATAATTTTCGGTCTTTTAGTGTTTTGCTTCACATATTACATTAATGTCATTCCCAAGATGCGAAGACCACTACTCTCTGATCTGGCTCATGAGGAATGGTCGTGTGTTTTGCAGAATACAAAGCAAGCTGTCCAGGAGAAAAATCCTAAAACTAGGGGAAGATGATCTGCTATCTAAGGAGGAGACTTCCATCCTCTCCTGACCATCTGGTCACCCTTCTTTAACTGGGCACCCTCCAGATGGGCTACAGCTGATGGGAGTCCAAGTCCAAACCAGTTGGGGAAGCTACACTAGATAGTAGAGTCACATTTTACTTCTACTGTTAACATTTACCTGACATATCTAAATTAAAAGTAACCAGTAGTTTTTCCAATTTTTTCTTAAACTCTGTTCTCTGTCTCACAAGGGATACATGGTTTCTGCTTAGTGCGACAAACAAACCTGAATTACTGCTGGATTTCATATTTAAAACAACAACCAGGGGAACATTAGGTTTTTCTTCCTACCAGCATGTAGTACACTAAGATTTTGCACCTAGCACACTCTAATTAAATCTGAGTAAGACCTCCTGCATTCATCCTAAAACTGTCACAAACTGAAGACATTGGAGCTTTTTTAAAATCATGTCCATCTTTTTCTATTGCACTCTATTTTTAATTTGCATTGTTTCCTACCTATCCAGAAGAACTTGAGTACTCCAAAACTCACTTGCTATTTTTTCAGTAAAGGCATTACTATGGCTGGTACAATTCTAGCAGGACTGAGTGCCCCCTACTGGCAAACACGCCTAGATCAGAGTGCATCCCACACTTATTCCATCCTGTATGTTCCCACTAACATGAAGTACTGTTTTTCAGCTGCAGCCTAACAAGTGAGGTCTGGACACATTCTAGATAGTCAGCAGCAGAACTCTTACCACTCTCAACTGCAGTGATTGTTCTAGGTATGCAGCGAAGGTAGGAGCTTCAGAATTCACAGTGGACTAAATCTGGCTCTTGTTGCATCAGTAGTACTTGCTTACCCTAATGTAGCAGAAACTTTGCAAAACAAACTTTCATAGACATTGAAGCTACCAATATTCAGATTTGATGAACAGTGCATTTTAGAGATAATAACTGTTGGAGAAGTCCGCCATGTGAAGATAGAAAATTTATCAGAAATTCTGCTCCAGAACTGGAGATTGTCTTATTCTAATTATTTAAAGTTATCTTAACTATTTAATAGCTATAATCTATCAGTGTACATTACACTAGTGGTCAGACTAAGAGCATAGAAAGCTACCTCAGTTAATGTTAATTCTGTGTAGTGGTAAGTCTCAGAATACGCTAGTTTTCTATACCCAGTTTTTGACAAATAAAAGTATTCAAAATGTGGCCCATCCCTGTCCCACAACAAATAATGCCTTGCTATACCCATTGCTTGAAGTGCTACAACCACAGAGACATAGTTGTCAAAGAAGTGGCCATGTTAGTCTGTGCAAGCTTATACAGTACAGACAAAAATAAAAATGAAAGAATTGAAAAGAAAAATGTTGTGGCACTTTGGAGACCATCTCTTATATTTCATTGAGAGCTTTCATGAAAGGTTTTGAAGAGTTAGTTTTTATTGTTAATTATGCTAAATGTGTAGCTCTACCCTGAGATCCGATGAGAAATCTAATTTGACAAGCATATCAAGACATGGGCTGAATGACAGGTAAAGAGTTGGATCAACCTGGTGCTATAATACTAAATAACAATCCTTGTTCTACCAAGCCCACTGACCTTTGTTTCTTTTTGATGCTTATGATTTAGCTTCAAATCACAAGCAACATCCTTCAATTATGTGGTTGAATTTTGTAGCATAAGTGAGGGTGGGGCAGATCATGATTCAATGCAATATGTTATTTTACTCGCACACCCAGTTCTTTCTTTTGTTTAAAGGAACTTCTCCAATGATTCCAACCTATAAATAATGCTGCTCTATATCCTTAGCTTAACAGTGACTTAGACTGAGGAATATGTGCTGTTGAACTGAAACTCCCATGATTGCACAGCATTGGCTACAGTGGGTAGGGCTGAAGGGTGCTGCAGTGCAACATCACACGGCAGGCCATACAATCTCTAATTTATGTTAGACTAAGAAGCAGACTCTCCTAGGGGAAAAAAACTTCCCAAGAGAAAAATGAATGAAAAAGAGATAAAAAAAAGAATTGATCAGAGGTTAATTCACTGAAGCAGTCTTTAGTATATATTTAGATGACTACTACTGTACCTTATGTAGTAAGCTACATTACATATATTAACAAGACAACTGTTCTGCAGTCAAA